ATCCATCCAGTATTCATCCATCCATCTTCTATCCATCTACCATCTATCCATCCATCCACCTTCCACTCATCCATCCACCATCCAACCATCCATTCATCCAGCCAGCCAGCCAGCCAGCCATTCACCGTGCATCCAGCCAGCCAGCCAGCCATCTATCTATTCATGCAACTATTCACCCATCTATCCACCATCCATGCATCCATCCAACCACCATTCACCACCCACCATCCAGCTATCCAGCATCCATCCACACCATACATCCCCCATCCATCCATCTTTCCACCCTTTCAGCCAATAAATATTTGCTGGGCCTCTCTTTCCTCTGTGCCTGGCACTATTCTGGGGTCTGGGGATACAATACAAGACATGTATTTCTTGCTCTGGGGTACAGGTTCTGGGATGTATAAGAAGTAGATCATGAACAACAAACTGATGGAACAGGAGACTTTCAGGTGGTGAGACAGGGGTGGGAGGAGGTTGCAGGAGCAGTCTCACTGAGATCTGATAGATTGAGCTGGGCCCTAAGGGTGTGAGACCAACACAGAAGAGAGCAAGGTGGAGTGTCTCACAACACTGCTGTTCGAATGTGGGCATCACATTGAACTGTCATGATGACCCGTGACAGGGTGAGTGCTGCATCCAGAAACGTCTGCAGCAGTGTGAAGTAATTTTAAGTCTGTTGAATCTAATAAAAATGTGGTCTTGTATTTTCTGTCTTTGTGCCATTTTTCTAGTAATTTTTTGTTATGTTTTGTAAAAGTTTATAAAATTGAAAAAAGAAACAGCAAAACCTGGTCCTTCCCTAGAGATAGTTTGAGAAGCGCTGATTGAAGGCAGAATGGAAGGAAGCCAGTGGGGTTGAAGCCGAGGGAAGGGAAGGCCAGAGAGCTGAGCTGGGCAGGGCAGATCCTGCAGGCTGCAGTGGAGTGGCAAGGAGCTGTCATTTTATTCTTGGTGCAGTGGAAGCCCTTGAAGGCTTTAGTGTGCAGGAGCATGATTTGGTTAATGTTTTGCTTTTTAAATGGTTATATGTGAAGAATAGACCAAAGGGGGTCACAGGAAGAACAAGGAAGCAGGCTGCAGCTGAGATGGAAAGTGACTTGGGCCATGAGGGGAGGAAGGGAGGAGGGGGTCAGGGACATGTTCTGGAGGAGAGTGGTCACACTTAGCACTGGATTAGATGAAGGTGTGACATAGAAAGGAGCTGAAGGAAACCTAGGTTCCTTGACTCACCGGCTGAGGTGCGCTGCTGTCACTCAGAGGGCACCACAAGGGGAGACAAGGCAGGCCCAGGAGGGACCTGCAAGGCTCTGCTGGACTTGTCTGTAGTGACCAGAGCCACCCCAGAGAGGATGTCTGGGGGTTAGATGATCGGGTGTAGGGCTCAGGGGAGGGACTGTGGGTCTGAGTCTCTGCCCCAAGGTTGGATAAAGACTGAGTTGGATCAAGTTGGACAGAGTGACGTTCACCGCCTGTGCCTTTCTTGTGTCTGTTTATGTGTCTGTCTTATCCAATAGTCTGGGAATCTTTTCAGGGCAGAGATGAGGCCTTATTTCTTTTCATCTTTCCAGCATCAGTAGGTTGCAAAATAAATAAGTGAATGAGCAGATTAAAGGTTCAAATGTTCCAGCCTTAAGTTATTTATAATCATAGGACATGGGACCTTCCTGTGGATATGCACAGGTGCCCATGCAAGCGTGCAGCACACACTCGTGAGAGTCTGGGATGAAGACTCTCAGCGATGGATGGGCACATGTCCCCAGGCCCAGAGGACAGGGCCCCTACCCTGCCTCCTCCACCGTCTGGTTGGGCTAATGGTAAGGTGGGGGAGGTCTTTGAATGCAGAGACGGGGCTGTGAACTGGACAGGTGAGTTCTGGTAGGAGACAGACAAAGACACATACAAGGAGACAGCAGCTCCCAGGTCTGGACCTCCAGCACAAGAATGGTACAGTGATCATGACTGTGGCATTTTGAGAGGAGCAAGCAGGCAGTGGCCAGGAGTGTCTAGCACAGAAAGGTGCTGGAGGGTCTGCTATGGGCCTGGCCAGGGGTCAGAGCTTGCAGGGATCATCCCATAGGTCAGGCACAGCAGCCCCACAGCAGCTATTATTGACAGAGGGAATGCCATTGTCCAAGATCAACACATCAAGTATTGTGGGGGTCTGAATTCAGGTATGCTGGTCCCAGGACCCAAGCCCTGAGCTGCTCTGCCCATTGGGTCTCAAAGCCCCACCCACTTCTTTCCAGTGGGAATAGCCCTATCCTGGAAGGACTGTAGGTCTGAGTTTCTGCCCCAAGGTTGGGTAAAGACTGAGTTGGATCAAGTTAGACAGAGTGAAGTTCCCCTCCTGTGCCTTTCTTGTTCTGTTACCTCTCAGCTGTGTGACCAAGGACAAGTTACTTAACCTCTCTGAGCTTCAGCTTCTATCTGTATGAGGGACAGTGCTTTGGGCTCTTCTCTTGTTCCAGAATCTGATGTCCTTGTAGTCTGTACCTTGGGGAATCTGGATCCCACAGACCCTCTCCCTCTCCTGGATACCCCCAGCACCCTGGGGCTTTCCTCCAGAAATAAAAGTGAGTCCATGCTGCTTGAACAGCTCTGTCCATCTGTCAGAACACTTTCTGCGTTCACCTTCATGTCCACTGACCTTGGTGGGATTGAGGAAACAGAGGGTCGGCATGGAGAAACCGTTCTACCATGGGGCAAAGCAGAACTCACCATCATCTTATTCTGGGAACTCTTCCTCCCCCATCTTCTGATGTGCTCTTGAGCTTCAAACTAATTCACACCACGTATGTGCACGTGAAGTGTGGTGTCGGGGGGCATTTTGAAAAGATTGAGGAAGGATGGCGGTTACCCCACAAAAAGGAACAGTTAATGGTCAGTCCTTCAGTGCCTGATGCTGGGGGAGGTGGCGGGAAGACACCTGCTCTGTGACTGGAGCCAGGAGCACAGATCAGGGAAAGAGCTCCCTGTCTGGTGTGGGAGGGAGACAGACACAAAGGCAGACTGTGCTTGAACAGGGCATTACCCTTCCCCGGCTGGGCCCAGTCCTACCTGTCCAGCAGGGCCTTGTAGCTGAGCACACCAGAGATGAGGCTGGCTGCAAACCTGCAGAGACAAGTGAGGCCTAACCCTCTCTTCCCTGGGCCCAGGCTCCCCCCCTACAAAGTCTCTGCTTATCCCACCATATGCCAAATGGGGCACTAGTCAGAAATGACATGGTTCCTAAATCCATCACGGGCCTTGCATTTAAAATGGTCCTTTGGCGAAAACTTGGGGTGGAGCAGCTCTAGGGGAGAGAGGAAACTGGGGTCACCTTGGGGAAGAGGAAGAGAGGAAGTGGGAGACCAAGAGGGCACTGAGCAGGCAGGAAAGGCTAGATGGGGAGGGATGGAGCTCTTCCTGGTCAGGGTTAGTCCAGGAGCTGGGCAGGGCCAGGGGGAGTTCTGAAAAATGTGGTCTCCTGGGAAAAGCCAGTAATTTGTTCCCCTTAGTGTTAATGAAAAGGAAAGCGAGGGTTGGGGAAAAGATGCCAGAGAACTGTGCCATGGGACCGTGTCATCTTAACTGTCCATGGCTGATGAGGCCTGGCTTAATTGCATCAGGAGTAAAATAGCCCCTCAGATGCAATTTTGATGACTGCTCTCAGCAGTCATCCATCATACCTTCTTTCTGCCCACGGGAGGCCCCAGCTGCAGGGGGAGGGGGCTGGCCTGCCCCCAGGCCAGTCAAGCTGGTCTTAGGGAGGCAGGGGGAGGCAGAGGCCTTCCCAGTGTGGCTGCATCCTGCCCAGAGGAGAGGTAGGCGCTGCCTTTCTCCTCATGCCACTTTGGATCACCCCTCCCCCTGAACTGTCCCTACCATTTGCCCCATTCAGGTCTTGAGACCAGAGATTCTGAGGCCCTCCAGCAGGGAGATTCTTCCCCCATCTCCTCCATCGTCATCAGTAGGTCCAGAGGCCCTTCCAGCGGCTCAGTGAGCTCTGAAATTGCAGCAGATGGCACAGGCTCTGGCGGCTGGCAGGGAGGAATCGTTTCCACCCCTCTGGGGCCTCTCTGTAGAGCTGGGGGCTCTGGAGGGCAGCAGAGAAGCTTAGACAGCCTAGGGCAGTGCTTCTCAGCAACAAGTACCGACCAGTCGGAGGACACACACCTCCTTCCAGGGCCTCAGCCAGAGTGCAACTGCCGTGGGGACATCTGAGGTCCATGACCTCTAATTAGTGGTCATTCAGCCACCCCATAGCAAATAAATATATTCTGAGGCAGACCACGTGTTTGTGGCTGGAGTGCAGCCACACCTGACCTCCCTCCTGATGGTCTGGTCTGATGGTCTGGAGGTCACTGTCTTGCTCAGCGAAGGCACGAGCTTTGGCCTTTCCTCGCTGGCACTAAAGCCAGGCCCCCTGCTTTGGATAGGTCCCCAAACTGGGAGCCAGGAACACCATGCCCTCACCTTAGCTGGTCGTTGGTATCTTGGAAGTGCTGCCGAGCAAAGATCACAGCTGGGCTGGAATTGACAGGCAGGGCCAGGCGGTTGGTGAGATACATGTCATTCAGCCAGTACTCAGACACCTGCCAGGGGTGGGGGAAGTAGAGGCACATCTTGACATTCCCCTGTGTCCTTTGGGGGACACTGGACCCATCCTGGCAGCCCCGAGAGAAAATCAGGACACTTCATTGGCGCATTCACTTCATTCATTCATTCATTCCACAACATACACTGAGCTCCAGTTATACTCTAGGGCTCGGTGTGCCCCAGGCCACTCAATTGTCTTTCATCTTTGCCCTGCACTAGCTCCCTTCTTCCATCCTGGTTTCTCATCCTGGTGGCTTGGCACTCCCACCCCAGGCCCCCGCCCATCCTTATGCATGTCTCTCTCATGCCTGTCACCCTCTCTGCTTCCCTGCCTTCTTCTCTGTCCTCATCTCTCCCCCATCCCTTCTCTGCCTGGCCCTTACCCTGGCCCCTGGCTGTATGCCAATCCATGTCGCTTGTCTGTTCCCATCACTCCCCCATTCCTGTCCCCTTTGCCCCATCTGGCCTATATTTGTCCCCGTCTGTCCCTTGCTTAAATCCTTCTGTCCATCTCCAGGTCTGCCCTCTGCCCCCTCCCCGGGTGTTTTGCCTCCCCCGAGACCTCTTACCCAGTTGGCTGTCTTCTCCTGCCGCTCCAAGAGTTTTTTTTGCAGGGTCTCACCGAGGCTTCCAGGGGACCCAAACCTCTGCACAATGGCTTGAGTCTTCTGAAACTGCTCCTCAGGGACCAGGTGCTGCATGCACTGCAGGTAAGTGGCCAGGGTCTGCTGCAGGGGGGGCACCGGCAGCTTGGGCAGTGCCTGGAAGAGAAGGTTCACGGGCAT